CAAACCATTAAACATCCATATTATTCCAACTTCCTGTTGGAATAAGGGGCACCTGAACATTATGATGATAATCAGTGATAGCCAAAAGGGAACTACAAAGAAAAATGTGATTTGATTTATAACTATAGGCAAAAAGGTGACATGAAAATTTGCCAAGTCTAACAGGGTGCATGGAGTGGAAAAGTCAGTTAATAATAAATTAGGGTTAATAAGTAATCAATAAGGACAATATAATGGGGTTTCAGCAGGTTTTATGAAGGTAAATTTAAGACTTTTTTAAAGACCAATTAAAGAACATTTAAGGAATACACTGAAGGGAACACATGTTAGTATGTTATCTAAATCTAAATGTCTAAGTAGAACACAATGACTTCTTGTGTGAAATGTATTAGTAGCACTTCAAAGTTTACAAAAATGTAACTTCCAACCGATCTCCATTACTTTTTAATTAATTTTACACACACGCAAAAAATCAAGATATATTCAAAAATGTTAAGTCTTTATCAAAATGAAGTCAATGTTGTTGTTTTTTAAATATCTGCTTAGTCAAGTCAACTTAATTCAAAAGGAAAACCAGTTTTCATACCCCATTGACAAAAAAAAAAAAAAACACTAAATTTTGTTAATTTTATTAAAAAACAAGACAATATTATTATTTTGCATCTCAAGTAAATGTATCTTGAATTAAGGATGTTTAGATATTTGTACTGGAAAACAAGACAATAATACTGACAAAAGAACATTTAATGCCATAACTTTATGAATGTAAGACTTTGTGCTCCAATTTAAGACCTTTCAAGTCCTTAATTTGTGGAAGGGCAAATTAAGACTGTTTAAGACCAGCAGAAATATAAATAGACGTAATCTGGCTCTTGTATGATAAATGTTTGTTCTGCTTATCTAAGGACTGGTCAACTTGCTGTTGTGTTTTTCAAAGATCAGAGATGATTCGAGCAACTGAATCCATTTTTAAATATTTATTAAATACATTCCATGAGTATTTACTTTTAGACTTAAAAATGAGACTTTTTAGCTATGAAATCTTCAGAAGAAAGATGCAAAGGTTTCCCTGAATACTGTTTTCTCTTATTCCTCCTTCACTCTCTGTTCTTTTATGGCCCGTGAAGCCATCAGTCTGAAGTAGAGAGCGGGCCACAGTGCACGCAGATAAATGGCTGCAGTGGGCAGCAGCCCAGCCAAAACCACGTCTTTCTGTTTGTGACAGACAGCTTTCAGAACAGCACGTGCCACGTCCACTGGATCCGAGCCCTTCGCTGTGGTTTTGTCCATTACTTCAGATCCAAAAGAACAAAAAGAAACATATGACTAAATATTAAAATATGTATATTTATGATACTCATTTTCCAAAACATATTTCATACCTCACATTCAGAGATTGGTTGACAAGAACAACATGCTCTCACCTCCATATTTCGAGCCGTCCCCCGTGACTGCATTGATGGACAGGTTTGTTCTGATGTAACCAGGGCTGATGACAGACACCTGCAGGCCGAACCTGTCGACCTCTGCCCTCAAACAGTCAAAGTAGGCCTGCGTCGCATGCTTAGATGCAGAATCTGACAGAAAACATTTCAGATATGCAAGCAAGGTGCTCGATTAAATATAATGCTGTTTTTATTCATGAATCTTTGAATTCCCTCATCTGAATACCTTCTTTTGTGAATATATACTCACATGCAGATCTGTACGGTATGGAGATCTTTCCCTGCACGCTGCTGATGACAACGATATGTCCACTGCGTCTATCTACCATCGAAGGCAGAATGGCTGGATGGAACAAAAAAAAAAATCATTTTTAATTATAATAAAAATCTACATAATGTCATGTATAATGTGATATGATGTCATTTACATTATATAGGCCTATAATTTTGTATTGTTTCACATTTAATGTAATTTTTACATTAATATACATTAGTTCTGTCAAACGATTAATCGCGATTAATCGCATCCAAAATAAACATTTTTCTTTACATAATGTATGTATGTGTACTGTGTATAATACATACACTATGGTTCAAAAGTTGGGTGTCAGTAAGTTTTTTGTTTGTTTGTTTGTTTGTTTTTAAAGAAATTAATATTCAGCAATGACACATTAAACTGATCAAAAGTGACAGTAAAGACATTTATAAGCTAGTTTTTACATTTCTATCAATTGTAGAATCCTGAAAAAAAAATTCCACAATTAGTTTCCACAAAAATATTAAGCAGAACAACTGTTTTCAACATTGATAATAATAAGAAACATTTCTTGAGCAATCATCATATTAGAATGATTTCTGACGGATCATGTGACACTGAAGACTGGAGTAATGATGCTGAAAATTCAGCTTTACCATCACATGAATAAATTATATTTCAAAATATATTCAAATAGAAAACAGTCATTTTAAGTTGTAATAATATTTCACAATAATACTGTTTTTACTGTATTTTTGATCAAATAAATGCAGCCTTGGTAAGTATAAAAGTTAAATGTTTGAACGGTAGTGCATGTGTTTATATAACCAGATATATAATCGTTCCACTGATCTCTTTCTTTGACTCTTCTCCACTAACCTTGTGTAAGAGCAACAGGACCGAAGTAGTTAGTCTCCATGACATCTCGCTGAACTGATACATGAGTGTCCAGGATGTTGCCACGGTAACTAATGCCTGCATTGTTGATGAGGACATCAACATGACCGTGGCACTTCAAAATCTCCTCGGCGGCACTGGAAACCAGAGATGTGTTGGAGAGGTCAAAGGTGACAGTGCAGGGAGAGTAAGTCTGAAAAAGAGAGTAATAAACCCAGTTAAGAGACTGGACATAAGTATGTTTGGATACATTCACATTTTTTTGCCTAGTGTAAATAACACTATATCTTTCTCATAAATTAAGGCTTTAAAGATTAAATTAGGCATAAGAGATAACATAACTTTGACTGCAAAATCTGAACAAGCGAGTAAGAGATTTGATCGTATGTTTTCACCTGTATCTTTCCACTGTTTTGGTTTCTGAGCTCCTCCACAACCTCCTGCAGTCTCTTCTGGTCCCGTCCGCACAGGATCAGTCGGGCCCCTGCCGCATGGAAAACCCGTGCACACTCTGAGGTACAAAAGACAGATTGAGAATATTAAAACAAACAATTATGTAATATCTACAGTCAAATGTCATTGATAAGACATTTTGATCAGCATTATAAGTGAGTTCATGATCATGTAACCTCTGCCCAGGCCTGAACTGGCTCCAGTGATCACCACCACTTTATCCTGTAGATTCTGCTTGCGTCTCAATCTCTGGATCACTTTCAGCAAAATCAGCAGCCCAACAGTCCCAGCTGCCAATGGCCCAACGCCTAAACCTAACACACGCTCCATGTGTCTGTACACATATGCAGAGATATGCAAATATGAATTCACATTTATTAAAACTCAGCCCAGCATCTTTATCTGAAAGTAACATTACAGCATTCTCTGAAAACACAGCTGAACTTCAATGTGGGTATGTTGTATATGCTGTTTACATAGGAGACAGAAAGAACTGTAAATTGTAAACAATATTTAGAAGAAAACATGAAATTGTTTTTATTGTATATGAGCGGTATAACTCTTTTATACCTCACGTTTTGTCCTCACATGGCAAGACAGCATAAAATATTTGTATTTTAAAAATTATTTCTCCATCCAAAACCTTTTTAAAATAAACTAGTGAAGGCAAAAATTAAAATGCTGAAAACTTAAAAAGGTGACTACTAGTTAAGCACATAAAATAATTTTACCTTACACATTAAAAGAAATTACACTTTTTAAAGACAAATACTACAACTAATTAATATTAAAAATATTTTAGTTAATTGAAATAATGCTGAAATAAAATTAAAAAATATATATAAAAAAAATTAAATGACAAAAATATGAAACTACTAGAACTTTTAAATTAAAATGAAAACTGAAAAAGCTCATTCAAAATATTAATAAATACTATAATATTATGCAAATACTGAAAACACACTTCTGTCAAGGGCATCAGTGGTCAAGTGTCGTTAAGACATTTTCGTGATTGATTTATCGTTAAAACATTCTTAGTCTGTTCGATAATACAGTCAGGTTATCACTGATGTGTAGTACACTAAGCAACTATCCTGAATACAAAGTGTCATATACACGTTTCAGTGTACTATGCAACCACGTTTACTATCACATTTTGTAAACATATAGGCCTAGTTTCACAGACAGGGTTTAGGTTAAACCAAGATTAGGCCATAGTTCAATTAAGACATTTAAGTATCTTTTATAAACGTGCCTTAGAAAATAACATTGCTTGTGTGCATCTTGAGACAAAACAATGGCACCGACATGTTTTAAGAGATGTCAGTGCAAGTTTCTTTCAGGTAAAACAGCCCAGACATGCATTTTAGTCTGGGACTAGTCTTAACCCTCGTCTGTGACACCGGGGGATAAAATAAACTAGCAGGAATAATACCACATTACCTACCGTAAGATAAGACCCATATGATTGAGTGCGTGGAGAATCCGGAACTCAATACCGTCACGTGATTTCGGCTGTCCAATAAAATTCCGAAGGGGCTGAAGCGATCACGTCTCTACAGAATCCAGCAAGAAAACACATCAAAACAATGGATATGATAAAAGAAAAAATATGACACAGACACCAGGGTTCTTTTAGGTTACTAAAACTATATATAAAAAATTGGTTACATGAAATAAAATGAACATTAATCGAAATAAAATAAATTATAAAACAACTTAAACGTATCTCAAATAGCTGCAAAGACAACATTTCACATTTTCATTTAGTTTAACTGAAATAACTAAAACTAAACAACAAAAAATAAATACTATAAGTTTAAAAATGTAAGAAACAACAATTACTAAAACGTTAAAATTAAAACGAAATATTCAAATAAAAATTAATAAAAACTATATAAGTATCTCAATGATACTGAAATAACACTGACAGACACAAAAGGGTTTGTTGTAGTTGTATTTATACACATTGGGATTAAAATCCCCTTTTAACAACACAGAATTCTTTAAAACAGTGGAGAGGAGCTCCTAAATGCCTGCATGTGGCATGTTATAAACAAAAAAACACTGTTTCAGTGAGTTATCAATAAATAAATCCAAATGACAATAATTTACAATATGTTACAAAAGCTGTAAATACTAGGGACTGTTATTGTCTATTTACATCTGTGCAAACACTTGTATATGTACACCCACCCACACAGAGAAAGTCTCACATAAGAAAACTCAGTTTTAGAATCTACAAATTAGTGGCTTCATATTAATTCATCAGGAAACAAAAGTCCTAGTGTTTTGGGGAAAAATAGCGTAATATGTTTAATCTCACTTTTGATGCAACTACACTGCATTTGCATCAGTAATTTTGTTTAGTGTGGTTAGATATTCAGTCCACGTAATAATCTCACAAAAAGAAGCCCTTGTCTCTTTCAGTAGTGTGGCTTTCACCAACCTAAAACGTTCAGATGAAAATAAACCAATCAGAATCGGAGGTCTCATAAACAGAGGGTGTGCGCAGACGCACTCCTATGGCTTTAGAGGGTTTTGCACAAATGTTGTGTACAATAGAAAGACATCACAAAGACAAAACACATGCAATCCGCGGCTCCACTTACAGATGCATGCACATGCACACACACAAAAGTGAGACAAAGACATTAGAGATAGATATACAGATGAGAAGACGGTATTTGTTCAGATATGGCAGGTCTTGTTTTGGCTGTAAACTGGAGTGTTTTTATTTATTTATTTATTTTTTGTTTAAGTGTCCTGGGTGTGGTTCATAAGACAACAGCCACAGAATAATCAACACACACATACACAATCGCTCTCACACGCACACATTAGAGCCCAAATGCTGTTGTGGACCCTGCCAGTCTATTGCACTTCCTACAGCTGAACTGCACTCCAGCTAACATTCTTCTGTCCAATACGAAAAGGGGCAGAACAGTGACAGACACCGCCTCCAGCATCAGTCCTCTGGACGAGGTGGGAGGGTCGGTTCTGTGACAGAGAGCTCCTGTGCGAGGTCATTGAAGCGGGCGATGTAGTCAACGCTGCTCTCGCTCATCATACAGGCCAGCTGGGTATCCACCTGTAGTGAAAAAACAGCCTTTGAGCAAGTGTCCAAATGTTTTTTTTGGGGCCACAGCACGATAAATGTACAACACTTTCAAAGCTGAGGATGGATGCCTGATTTAATTTGCATACATCATTTGAAACACCCTTACTTCCTGTTTATCTTCATTGTAAGCCAGGATGTGAAAAAACTAAAACGGGAGCACCTGGCGATAATGTGCCATATCAAATGACATTAATCTACCAGACAGCAGCTGGGGACTTTCTGTGTTTCCTCTCACCTCAGCTACATCCGGCAGGCCGCGGGACTGAAAACAATCGTGGGAGTTGCTGTCCAGTAAACTGGGTCCAAGTAAGGCTGTGCTACTCGAAGGGGGAAGGGCTGTCCTTCTTGTCTTATTATCAGGAGATGCCAGACTTGCTGCAAATCAGGAAAACAAGGATGTGTTTGTCAGTAGTGCTGAGACTGATGGAGATTTGCAGTACGAACACAGACAGGTAACTGCGGACATTTTGGCTTCAGTCTGAAGCCAGCCTCTTGTACCTCAGTATCAATACTGAATAGAAACCTCAGGCAACATATAAAATGATTAAATTAAACTAGGGTTGTCATAGTTTAACTTGATATTGTTGATAGAATATCAACAAATCAACAATTCAACTTTTTTTTTTTTAAATTAACACATTAAGTTCCTTTTAAAGGAAGTAATCCTTCGATCGATCGATCGATCTATCTATCTATCTATCTATCTATCTATCTATCTATCTATCTATCTATCTATCTATCTATCTATCTATCTATCTATCTATCTATCTATCTATGTAATATGTTTTTGTTTTTGAAAGAAGTTTCTTTTGCTCCCTCCCGCTGCTTTTATTTAATCAAAAATACAGTATTGTCATAGTCTTGATATTGTTGATAGAATATCAACAAATCAACAATTCAACTTTTTTTTTTTTTAATTAACACATTAAGTTCCTTTTAAAGGAAGTAATCCTTCGATCGATCTATCTATCTATCTATCTATCTATCTATCTATGTAATATGTTTTTGTTTTTGAAAGAAGTTTCTTTTGCTCCCCAATGCTGCTTTTATTTAATCAAAAATACAGTAATACTGTGAAATATTATAAAAAATTAAACTGCATATCTAAAAATACAAATAAAATACAAAATTAATATATTTTACAATGTAATTTATTCCTGTGTTGGAAAAGCTGAATTTTTAGCAGCTAGTACTCCAATCTTCAGTGTTACATGATCCTTAAAGAAAAACCAAAAAAAACAAAAGCATTCTAATATGCTCATTTGGTGCTCAAGAAACATTTTTTTATTAATATCAATGTTAAAAAATATTTTTGTAGAAGACCTGATACATTTTTCCAGGATTCTTTGACGAATAGAATTTATTTGAAATAGAAATCTTTTGTATCATCATAAATGTCTTAACTGTCACTTCTAAACAAATTAATGTATCCTTGCTGAATAAAAGTATTAATTTCTTTTCAAAACAACTTTTCAAAGAATGTTGGAATGGTAGCGTATATATAAATGTAAAGAAAGCTCAATCAATTAGTTACAAAGTCAAAATCAGTTACCAACTCATGGCACTATCATTTTGTTTCCTGCTTTGTTACTTGTATACATACTATCTAGAATAAAGATCTGTTGCTAACAGGGATTTGAGTTGTGTTTGATACTTACAGAGCAGGCAGCCGAGACTTGAATCGGTAGAGTCACTGGGGTACCACTGAGGGTCGTGTGTGGGGGACGGCATCCAGCTGTCACATGAAGAGGGAAGGAGCTTAGATCTATCACTCCCATTGAGTTTAGGAGGTGAGAGCAATGATCCATCACCTGAGAAAGAGACAGAGAGACCGAAAGTGAGCAAGTCGATATAACTACTACAAAACGATGCCACTGAGATCCTCTAACACTCAGGTTCAATCCCGTGGGTCATACCATAGTGCGAGTTGATGGCGAGCTCAATAATAGAGTCGCTGATTTGAGTTTGTGGCTCTCCAGAAGGTAAAGACTCCTCTGGGGGTCCCGGAAGAGAGATATCCAATAGGGAAGCAACACTGGGAGGAGCCAAGAGGGAGTCCCCGCCCCCTGGAGATGGTGGAGAGACACCGTTCTGCAGGGATTCCTGCAGATAAAGAGAGTAAAATGAGAACAAACAGACCAAGATATGAATTGTACACCTAAAAGTGAAAGAGGATATAGGAAGAGAATTAGTCCTTACCTCAGAAGGCTCCTGATCAAGCAGATCTGGCTCTAGCTCAGGTGCAGAGTCCATGGCCTCCTCAGACTCCACAATGGCCTTATCTACACTAGGGGCCTCCACTTCCCGACGGGGGCTGCCAGGGATAATGCCTGCAGATTTTGCAGCCAGGTCAATTGCACCTGAAACAAATTCAAGAGAAATTCAAGAGTGTGTAGCAGTTGGTTTCAAATGTTCAGTGGATGAATAAATCTTTTATCATTTAATTTTGATTTGATCCTTACTGGACAGCTGAGTAGTGGGTGCAGAACTGGCTGTAGTGGACGAAGCTTTTGAGGAAAGTTGGCGGTTCGATGGAGCGAGACGAGTTTGTATTGGACGAAACGAACCAGTTCCTGACAAAGAGGTACACAAAATATTTAAAGAGCAGTGACTGCATTAAGATCCGACAGACAGATACATTGATCCTGACACTTAAAAATGAAAGAATTTTACTGCTTTATCTCAAAAAAATGTTTTTTGTAACTACTTATAAGTAACTGGTGCCAAGTTAAGCTATCAAAATATTGAATTGTGAACGGTACATGTTTTTTTGATATATTTAAAAAAAAAAAAAAACTTTTTTTGTGAAATGTTTTGCTTTAAAAGAGTGTTTGTATCTTTCACTATGATAAAATGTCTTTTGGTGTGATTTTTTGTTATATAATGACATTCGTGCATTTAAGTGTGACATAAGTGTCCAAATACTTGTGTAATTTGTTACGCATTTGTGTAGATTTATTACCTGTAGCAGATGAATTGGAGAGAATAGAGAAGGAGCAAACATGAGGCGAAGTGTCTCCAGTTGTTCGTGGCAGCAGGGTTCTCTGTATAAAAAAATAAATAAATTTTTATCATTTGATAGCTGTAAGAACAAAACAACAAAAGAACAGATTCAATGTGAAAAGTAGTAACTAGGTAAAGGCAAGAAGCCCCACTTCTTATTTTTCTTCCATCCACACTCACCTGAACCACGAGAGGTTTCCTTAGTGGACGCCCCCTCCCTATTTTCCGCTGCTTTGAAAATATATCTGACTAAAGACAAAAAAAAAAAAAGAAAACGATTAGAGGAAAAATTTCGCTAATGAAGAAAAGAGTATATTTTTCCCTCAGAAAAAAACAAAACAAAAACCCTGATGATGTCATGCGAGATTTACTGTTCAAAAGTCTGGATTCACAACATTTATAAAAAAAAAAAGAAAAGTTTTATTAAGCAAAAAGGCCTTAAATTGATCAATTTAACATAATTGATATTAATAAGAAATGTTTCTTGATCACCAAATCATCATATTAAAATGATTTCTGAAGACTGGAATAATGACTGCTTAAAATCACAGGAATATAAAATATTCTTTAATAAACTTAAAAATATATTAAAGTAGAAAACAGTTAGAATAAACAGTAATAAATAATCATTTATAACATTAAATTGTAATACATTATATTTTAACAATAATATCTCTATAAATAATATCTATGAGACGTCTTTCAAAAGAAATTCTTACCAACCCCAAACTTTTGAATGGTAGTGTATATGATTTGGCCAACTGACAACTTGAAATACATTTCAATATTATATTTAAAAATGAAAAAGCATGTCCCTCATGTCCTATTCACTTTTAGAAACACTGACTCAACTCACACTGATGGAGTCCAGCTGCTGGCGAAAGGCTAGCTCCGCCTCCTTATTAGGTGAGAACATCCGCAACTGGCGGGAGCTGTTAGGAGGCAGGGTCGTCGGGACAGCAAACCCTTCGCTGTCACCTCCGGAGGCCAGCAGAGAACGCGGCAGGTTTCTCCCACCTGTGGAGAACACATCTATTTAAATTCCAGCTGATAAAATTGATACAAAGCAGCAACACTGCAATTTTGTCACAATATTGAGTCAATATGATGTTTTTGGTTCAAGAAGAGGTGAAACTTCAGGCTTTTCCAGCTGTTATAGGTTGCAATAAACTTCAATCAGTTCTGGGAGGATGTTCATTACATTGGCTTTAAAGGTGAAGTGTTTCAATATTTAAATACTTTAGTTTATCCCAGTTTAATGTGCAACTACAAGTAAACCATTTGTATACTAATTTCCCTAAAAATTTGGTCTGTGAGCAAGGCGAACGGCCTGAGATAGTAACAACTGCTCAACCAATGCCGTGAGTTTGGGGCGGAACTAACAGCCATCCAAAGGCAAGTGGGGGAATATTTGGGAAACTGTGTCATTTCTGTGCCACTATTTGGAATTGCAGAAATAATGACACTTCAACTTAAATTAAGACACAATTATGTCTCTGTGTACCTGTGATGACTGCATTATTCAGAAGTATTTTTGAGCGTGCTGCATGTTGCTGTCGACCCCAGCTAGGACTACGGGTCGCCCCAGCTGGAGCTCTGCCTGGAGGAGTCACTGATGATTCCTCTTGACCTGATTTCAAAGGTGAAGTGCCCACTGAACACACCTCCGGGGTCTAGGAATAAATAAAAATTAATTAAAAAAAAATAGTAATAAAAATAATAAATAAACAAACAGAACCACAGACGAACAAATTACTAATTTAATTAGCCTAGTGCTATCTAGTTTATATGCATCTCTCATGTTTTTATGCATAGTATTAATTTACAATTTCTGACAAAAACTTGTTTTGTGCCTACTTATAGTTGCCTTGAGGTATTGTGGAGATCAAGTGTAAGGTCAGAGAGAGAGATAAAACAGACTTACTGGTTTGGGGTTGACCTCTGATGACACAAGTCTCAGGAGACACCGAAGCACACTTTGAGTGGTGGGCAGAGCTGAGGGTTGGGGTTTAGGCTGCCATTCATACTCCAGCTGTAGTTTCCCAGGCTTGCCCAGCATGAGGTAGACTTCTGCCAGTGTCACATTCTCAAAGCCCTGTGAGCTCCAACCTTCGTTTTGGATTTGTTGAGGAGATCGTCCAGTCCCACTCACTTCCTCACTGCGCCCTTGAGGTTCTGATTGTGGTGGTGCTGCTTTTTCTGATGCAACCCCTCCTGCCGTTCCAGGCTCCTCAGTCCGGCCCTCGATTGGGGCGGGGTCTCCCTGAGTCACAGTCTCTTTGTCGCGCCCGCTAGCATCAGTCTGAGTCTGACTCACTGCTTCTTGCTCCAGAGTCCCCACCGCATTCCCCTCCGGTCCATTGGGGAGTGATGGAGCGAGGGTTGGACTGACTGGAGAGGTAGAGCTCAGGTTTGGGTTTACATTGGTCTCCAACACTGGAGCTGAAGTGCCGCTATCAGGACCGTCAACAGGATGCCCGTCGCTTTTTTTCAGGTCTCCTCCCACCGGACCATACTTGCCTGATTTTCCTCTTGCAGGCTGAATTCCCAAAATGTGAGCTGCGGGCAAGTCCCTAATACCTGTCCGGCCACGCCCACTCTCCTGCCAGTGTACCGTGCAGGAAGCTTTTGAGTGCACAACACGAGCCACGCCTGGCAAAGTAGTAACTGTGCTGTTCTCTGCAGGAAACAGGAACAGGTCCTCCGACTCGCTAGACTGGGCCAGGCCGTCCAGAGCTTCTCGTTCTGCAAGACTCTTACGCTACAAGTGACAAGTTAAGGGGAATTACTGTTATAAAACACATAGGTTTGGGTACTGATTTAAGCATAGAGATCTTTGCCAAATCTCCCAAACAAAGCAACCAAATCAATCACAAATGTATCTCATAAAACAGACGAGGAAGGAAAAAGGAAGGAAATTAAACTCCTGACTGTGCATGCTGAGATATCTGGCTGAGATATGAATGCAAGGATACAATTCGTTGATCCTGGACAGCCCACTTTTGCTTCAGGAATTCAATGAGAGTGGAGACCTTCCGGTGCAACTCCACGACCATCCTACAAACACAGCACAGTGATGGGCATCGCCAAATCTGTTGTACTTTTAATGTCACAACGAATTGCAAGTACTGAGAGATCTTTTCTTCTGTATGGTGATGTACATCCATTTCATTTTTAGTTAAAATTTTAATCTCATGCCGACTTTCAATATGAAGTCAATATGAAATCAAAATGCATCAAAATACATTTTCATGGCTCCAAAATAAAAAATAGCCATGAAGCAATCTCACTATTTAATTTAACATGAAAGTAACCAAGTATGCCAATACTAATAGACTAAATAAAACTAAAAACTAAATAAACAAAACACTGAAAATACTAAAACTAACCAAAAAATAACATTGACAGCAAGCATGAAAACTAAACTTAAATCAAAATACATACATACATGCATACATACATACATATATATATCTACATACATATATACATATATATATCTACATACATATATACATATATATATCTACATACATATATACATATATATATATACATACATATATACATATATATATATACATACATATATACATACATATAATGGTGGCCACACAAAATATTGACACTTTGGGCCCAATTTGGACATTTTCACTTAGGGGTGTACTCACTTTTTTGGCCAGCGGTTTAGACATTAATGGCTGTGTGTTGAGTTATTTTGAGGGGACAGCAAATTTACACTGTTATACAAGCTGTACACTCACTACTTTACATTGTAGCAAAGTGTCATTTCTTCAGTGTTGTTACATGAAAAGATATAATAAAATATTTACAAAAATGTGAGGGGTGTACTCACTTCTGTGAGATACTGTATATGTGTGTGTGTGTATATATATATACACACACACTGTATATACACACACACTATAATATTCCTTCTTAAAATATTCCCGCCCACTTCCACAATCCAACCAATTTGCAGATTACGGAAGAATGTTGTCATTAAGATTGCAAAATAACAACATTTTGCAATAAGCAATGAAATAAATAAGCCATGAGAATGTATGATTTAAACGAGGTGGATCAGTGAGGTATGCAAGACAGGTCATGTGTGCGCATTAGTGAACCTCACCTGAGCCGAGGATTATGGGCTAGACTCTGAACCCGAGCCCAGGAGTGGTTGCTCCGGGGTTGAAGTTCTACAGCCACCTTCAACGGTAAACGCACAGGCTTCTGATCCTCCTCATCACTCACACCTGAAACAGAGAACAAGAGAAAAAAAAATACTATGAAGCCTACACCACCATCTCCATGATTCTGACGGTGGCCTAAATCTGCATCACCGCCCATTTTCTAATCAGTCCCACAGCCTGAAACCATGGAAACCATGAAAAACCACCATGGCACACTCATCCACTGCCTTGGTCCACCTAAATACCCATAGTGCTCCATTTTGTCAGTGTTCTCTTCTTACCTCATGCAGTCTGTTTAACTTGCTAACAAAATCTATATTTTAAGAGTCTATAAAGCAATCTCTGTTTCTCTCTCACACACACACCATCTGGGTCGCAGAGTTTCTTCAGTGCGCGGCACATGGGAGCTTTGATCCTCAGATTTCTGCCTTTGGAACGTACTGTGGTGGCCCTGAAACAATGTACACACAAAATTATAGATGTACCTCAATATGACAATATTGATAATATAATAATATTCATAACCTACAGAGATGTACAGCAGATGTTCCCATTAGACATGCCCTAAATAATCAGTACTGTTCATTATTAACATTTCTCTTTCTCTCTCTCAAATACACATACACACACACTTACCCCTGTTGGATAAGCTCATTTAGTTTGGCCACATTTTTGTCATCCATCACTAGAAGTAATAGAAAGACACCAAGGAATGTTACATTTAAAATGTCCTCATGTGCAAACACTTAAAATGCCCCCCCCCGATCAAGACAACCAATTGCCTGATATACTTACAGCCTCCAACCTTCTTCCTGAGTTCAGCATAACAGATGAGGCCATAGAGCTCCTGAGAGGACTTTTTCAGCACACGTGAATACACTGAAAGATGGACAAAAGGAAGCAATAGAAAAAGGAATAAGAACATGATGAAAGCATTGAGCATTTATCATGTATTATGCAATTGATTATGAGTGGAAACCATAATACATTATTTTAGGATTATTTGATGAATATAAAATTCAAAAGAACAGCATTTATTTGAAATAGAAATCTTTTGTAACATTATAAATGTCTTTACTGTCACTTTTGATCAATTTAATGCATCCTTGCTGAATAAAAGCAAAAAATAGTAGTGTACCATGAATCAACCAATAAAGACAAAATACAAGAAACTGTGAAATGTCACAGTAGAGGTTAATGCTGTTTACATTTATGTATGCTACTAAATCACAATAAGCAAATGTGCATGGTGTGGGCACACTCATGATTTGATAATGCCCTGACTGACAAAAACCAGGCAGTGTGGTAGAGGAGAAAATTCAACTCAATATGAAGGTGACCGACTGAATTTAAATGGGATGACAGGTACATCTTTGTTGTGGCAAGTTGACTGATGGACAAACAAATTACGTGTGACCCGATGGGAAACAAAACCCAACGTGAGCCATGTGTTATGAAAATTGGTGGAAAAAAGCTAATACAGCTAACAGAGGTATTTTCAGGTAAATCATCCTAGAATTCATACAAAGAAAAAGAACGCATATTTGCAACGTTAGTCAATATGAAAAACTAGCTAAGTTACTGTTCAGTTTCGAAAAAGATTATTTAAATTTGTACTTGTTTGCACCTGATATTTGCTACCTATGTGTACACTACCTTGACATTCAAAGGTAAAGTTTAATAATAGTATAGGTAAATAATGAAACAATGATCATGTAGGTATCACCACTTCTGAATAGCACCACATACATTTTTGGTAAGTCTGTTTGCGTGAAAGAAAATTGTGAAATTGTAAAATTCAAACTTTTTTTTTTTTGGATTCTTTGAATAGAAAGTTCAAAAGAACAGCATCATTAATTTCAAACAGACATTTTTTGTAACATTATAAATGTATTTACTGTCACTTTAAAAAAAAACAATTCTTATTGACCCCTAACATTTGAACAGTAGTGTATATATTTAGGAACTAATCTTGACAACTAACAGTCTGGTGAGAAGCAGGACAGAGGACTAGGGGTGCAACGGTTCAACTTACTCACGGTTCGGTTTGTATCACGGTTTTTGAGTCATGGTTTCGGTACGGTTTGGTATGTGCTATGTTTAGGGAAAAAACTATATTCTCAAATAAAAATAAAGAAAATAAGAACAAATAATCTAACTACAAGTAACAGCACAAATAAATAAACAGTGAAAAAAGATACAAATAAAATAAACAGTGCTTTTCAGTTTTTTTAGGTAGGTCTAACACAGTTTTTAGGTACAGAAATTGAATAAATCAAATGTAAAATAACATTGCATATTTGACTATAAATTAAAGATGAATTCTTATTAAAGTTACAAAAGTTATTCAATCAAGAGCAGTGAGAGATTTCCGTGTTGTTGCTGTTTGATTAACATTAAGAAAGTGCTGTCACTTTAAGAGAACGCACTGATCCAGTGATACTGTACGTTCAGCCGACTGTGTCTGCTAGGATACTCACCAAGACGGGCATTTTGACATAATTTTTGTGTGAATTTGTCCATTCAAACACAATACTTCACAGAGAGCTTAATATTTGCGCGCGTTCTGAGACGCGGGTTCACACGCTTCGGATGAGCGACCACACAGATCTTCTCACTGCACGCGCGAGTTCATCGTCCTCTGGCTCTTTAATATTTAAACTGGCAAGGCTTAAATGAGTTTAGTTTGAACACAGATAGCAACGTGTGCTGTTCAGGTCTCACCTGCGCTATCAACACGTGATGACATAAATGACAGTTATTCCAGCATAAAGCACTAGCATTGATTAAAGTGTGACTGGTTTGTCCACGTATTGTTTTTTCTCTCTCTCATCGCTCTTGTTGTAATGTATTGGGAAGCCGGAATTTGTATCCATCAACAGAAACATGCATTAGCCGAACTCTAACAAACCATATTACAGATGCATTGTCATTTTTAAGTTGAACCGCGGTTCTAGTGTATGCCGAACCGTGTGTGGAGACGGTACGGTTCGATTTTTTACCGAAAACCGTTGCACCCCTACAGAGGACGGTTTTCCACAAGACAATATCCTCCTATCAAACAAAAGACTCCACCCTAGCCTGTAAATGTCATTCAAAGTTTAAACTGTGCATCTGTCAGTCTCACCGTTGTTGAAATCAATGTGTTTAGAGATCTTGTGCCAGGTCCTGTAGTAGAAATGCCGCACCTGCTCCTTGTTCTTCACCATACTTGCCGGTTTACCCTTCTTCTTATATTTAAGAGCTATATTGTTCTGAATAGCTTCAAAATCCTTCCCATGCTATGAGAGGACAGGAGAGAGAATGACAGAGGAAAATGTATTTATAGCTGTTCCAGAAGATTTAATGAAACACAAAAATCCTTCAGGTGCATGACAAATTAGAACTTATTAAGAAATAAATCAATAAAAGATATCAGACCTCAATTATACCTTTAGAGATGACATGTAAATAAATTAAACCTATTAGGACATTTAAATATCAGTCTGTCCTATTCTGAAAATTTTATTGTCCCATATGATGGCAGTCGTGGCCTAATGGATAGAGAGTCGGACTTGTAACCCGAAGGTTGCGGGTTCGAGTCTCAGGTCCAGCAGGGATTGTAGTGGGGGGAGTGAATGACCAGCACTCTCTTCCACCTTCAATACCACCACTGAGGGGAGACCCTTGAGCAACCCCCAACTAGGGCTGTGCGATTTGGTGAAAATATCTAATTGCGATTTGTTTGACAGATATTGCGATTGGGATTTGATTTGCGATTTTAATTTTGCAAAGTCAAGCTTCAGCTTAACATTTTCAATAGTGTGCAGCACAGTATGGGTATCGTTACCCTGCTGAAAAAAACAATAGAAACCATCACAGAAATTCTTATGGTTTCCATTAAAACAATTACAAAATTTCTTTTTATAGTGCGTTTTGGGCATTATTCCAATAGGAATTACTGTTGTTCTATTGCTTCCCATCTGCTAGATTACATTCCACCAATAGAATCCATCAAATACCAGTAGACACCATTATAGTTTACATTTAAAGCCAATATAATTCCCATTATAACCCTTAAATTTTCTATTGTGTTTCGGGAGGGGTTCTATTGTTTTTTTTCAGCAGGGAATATTATAATGGTAGGTTAGACTGAATTTACACTTGTTTTAAACGCGGAGCCAGGCGTGCGTTGACACAGGTTGCGCGCATGCATCAAGCCTTGTCCATACTGCCAGATGTGCTCATGGAGACGTGCAGTGCGGAGCCGCGCGCGAGTATAAATAAGCATTACGAGACAGGCTGTGTGTGTGCGGCGAGTGTAAACGGCTCCTCCGTAAGATGTGGAAGAGAGGAGCGAGTATGAGAAGCATTCAGAGACACAGGCTGTGTGTGCGGTCTTTTGAATTGGGAATAGCGAACATGCTTTATAAACTTCTTTCAAATTAGAATCTGTTGGGGAGATAAAATGTGCAAGATAACGTTCATGTACTAATAAAAACATCTAAGAATATGTCTTTTATTCTCCAGTACTGAAAGCAGAACCGATAAGGGAGCTCTTGATATGTGTTGTAACACAGTTCTTGCAAATTAACTTTACCATTTTTGTTTGGTGTCTGTCATTTCGAAGCCGAAGTAATCTCATATTACATAAGTTTTTCTTTAGTATTAATTTGCCTAACTATCGATCTGACCCTGTAGACGCCATAATCACACACACACACACTCTCTCTCTCCCGCTTTCTGTTTGTTTGTTTTTTTATGGTGGGCGTTTACACAGTTGGCTAGAGCAGTGCTGATTGGGGAGAACGGAGGTGCACTCGCGCTACACTCATGCATATGCTCTGGAACAGAGTAATATCGTGTCCAAATCGCAGGCTCAAATCACGATTGCAATTCGATTTCGATTAATCGCACAGCCCTACTACCAACTGCTCTGCTCCACAGGCGGCGCAGCAATATGTCTGCTCACTGCTTCTGGTGTGTGTTCACGGTGTGTGTGTGTGTGTGTTCACTATTGTGTGTGTGCACTTGGCTGGGTTAAATGCAGAGCACAAATTCCGAGAATGGGTCACCCTACTTGGCTACACGTCACTTCACTTTCTTTTTTTAATTCTCAAAACACCACTGAAAAAATCCTGCAATTTACTAAAAGTCCAAAGAGCCGCCGAGAACTTTCAGTGGGTTTTATTATCACTAAAGCTGACAAATCACCTCATAAAGTCCTTCAAAGAAACTGTTTTTGTCCTCAGTGCTCCAAGACTCCCACTGTCTGCGCACTCGTTTCTGACTCCCCCCTTCCTCCTTCTCTGCAGGACCCTGGCCCTTTGGGGCCGATCTGGATGTCCCACCTGCCCCAGAGCTCCCGGCTGAACCTGCAGTGGCTGTCACACACACAGAGGGACCTGCTTCTGCACCTGAGAAAAAGAGAGGAAAAGAAAGAGGGTTAGTATGTCAGTTCTGAACACATGATGTAATTCTTGCAGAGGAATGCATTGCTATATATATATATATATATATATATATATATACACACACACACACAATAATATCATAATGTGCATCTATGTAAGAATCAACTATGCATTACTGTGCTGCTTAAATATACCTACTTAGGAATTGCTTTTACACATTTTCCAGACATATTCCTAATGCAAAAATACAGTTTTTCAGATTACTGAGCACTGTTGACCATTAATTTAATTCACACTATGGCTTATCACTTTCACCAAGGCATATCTACACCAACCAAAAAACGAGATTAAACTTTAAAGGAAACACACAGACACACACAAAACAACTGTCTGAAATGGGCCAGCTTAATTTGAATAGTTGTGCAACCAACTAAAATTTATTTATAATACTTTGGGCTGTTAAATTTATTTTTGGTTGAACATAAGAGATTTACAAAACCATGAAAACACCACTCTTTTAAAAAGCAAATAATCACAACAAACAAATAAAATTTTATATTGATAATTGCATAATTTCAGGCTGAGACCTAATAGAAAACTATTATATTTTTGTTCGCAATTAGAAAGGCTTACAGATTATTAGCCTATTTAAATCTTTTTATGTACCGTGTTAATGTGTGTGTCAACAAGAGTGTCAGGAAGTATGTGTGGAGTCCCTCGGAGGGCATCCAGACCTGCTGCTCAGTGCACTGATCCAAAAACAACACGTTGGGAACCGAAGAAGCCAATAACTCTCCCCCTTACTTACACACGAGAGCATGCAATGAGAGCACCCCAGAATACATTACAGCATGCAAGCCTACTGTCTACATTTAAAATAAACACAGATTCCCTTTATAATCCCTGTGTACGCTTAGATCGCAAACAGATCACTCAAACTCCTGACTTGTGATCCTGTTTCAATGTAGACGCAGAGTGACCATCTCCTGATCAGATGCATCAGAATGAAACTCCTGACAGTGATTTGTCACCTGCTGCTGGGTGACAGCTAAACAAGGGATATGAAAGGGAAATAAATGAATAATAATTGAGCCTGCTGATTTAAAATAGTGCACTGATGCTTATTACGGCATTGTGGTTACAAGCAACCCAAACATCCCAGAGCTGAGATTTAAGAGGCTTCAGTGTGAGCAGTTTGTCAAGTCACTTTCACTCGAGAAAGCATGAGAGCTTCTCCGCGTTGACAAATCAAAAGCAGCCCAAAGACTCACAGATTGCCGTACAAATGCCCCAAAACACGCTCAAAAGTGAGATAAAAGTGCAGAGAAATGATGCACTGACAGGTGGGCAGCGGACGCACGTCGAGATGGCCACTCACCTTTCGCTTTCGCAGCGCCGTGACCGTTCAGCGCCGGGGACGAGGCATCTTTCCGTATCCGCTTGCTCGGAGGTCGCACGCTGGAGCGGAGAAAATGATGCTGGTCCTGGTTGCTCGGGGCGGCCAGGACTGGGGAAAGCGCTGTCGGGTTCACCTGGGCTCCGGGTGGGCTTGATGTTTGGCTGGAAAGAGTCGGAGCCGAACCGGGGCTGGCCGCGCTTGATGGATTAAGTGTTTCCTCTCCGACTCTCTTTGTACTCGTCTCCTCGCTCGCCTGATCTGCGCTCTCTCCATCCTCGCCTCCTTCGGGCTTTCGGTCCGGTTTGCTCGGCCCCTCGACTCCCGAACCGCCCCCTTGGCCCACTGTCATCCTGCGAAAACACAAACGAAGCATAATCGTAAACATTTTCCGCGACACAAAACAACGATCAACTTGGAAAGACGACATTCTGCTCAACTCAACATGGCCGCCGCTGTTTGTTTCAAATCCCCTCTCACCGTCCCGACAAATCGCATCGGAAAAATACCCCTTCGGTTATTGACGAATGTGACCAAAAACACGCGTCGTGCTTTCATCCCAGCCTCCCTTTTGTGTAGTTTCGCGTGGCTCGAGTTGCGAGCTGCCCTTTATTTCCCTTGAAATTCAAGCGCGAGCGCCTTCACTTTAGCGCCCTGCAGAAACGACAGACGACAACGCAAATCTTCCGCGCATTCGACCTCTATCTGAAGTGCTTGTTTCTCACGCACTCTTACCCATTCTCGAGCTCTTCGGAAGCAGACGGCGTCTTCTTTCTCTTCACCATGAGTTCGAAGATTTTCGAGAGCAAAACTTGACGAATTTGAACATATTCGAAGCGCAAACGAGGTCAGGCAAAGTCGTCCTCTCCTGGCTGCTGCTGCTCCTACTGGGGTTCAACTCCGCGCAGCGCAACTGGGAGCTTCTCGTAGCCACAGCAACTCTGACTCATAAACTCACTAGTTTTATCACAACAACAAGCACACCTGTCATTTAGCCTATGTTCATGATAAAACGACACACGATGACGCTAAGTTTGAATCCAGATCTGCGTTTTGAGGCATTTCGGTCAATTCAAACCTATGCACGCACACGCAGCCGCTGTTCTCCCTCTGGACTTTGCTTACTCCTTCTACGTCATCATAACTTTCAGGGCAGAAGCTGATTTATTATTCAAATTTAAATTTCGCTCAGTGACACCCACAGTCCCAAATTATCCCAAGATAAGAGTACGTTGATTTCATCATCTCAACAACGAGCAGGACAGACTCGATAGATCACATGAAGATCACGTAGACAAGAGGGGGTGTGATATGGTGCTTTGCATACACAGCAAAACAAATAAACATTAAACATTAGTAACCGCACATATAACAGTGACTCCTTCTCGGATCTGTTCATCTTTGCTGTTTATTAAAATAAAAAGTTTGCAATAGTCAACTGACACCATGTTTTGCTTGATTAGGGCGTGTCTTCAGTTCACAAGAGCTAAAAACATTTTTGACATAACAGACTTTGTCAAACACTGAGACACTTAAAGTTTTTACTTTATAAATGTAGTTGTAAACAGCAATCGTGCATGCTTAAGATGCTAGAAATCAATTGCTTCCTATTATATTTTAAACATTATTGCAGCCAAGAAAAAGAATCTTTCTATATATTGTGTGTTAAGCAAAATTTAGCTTGATTTATCCCACGAACAACATTGTTATAATGTCTATAATGAAATAAGATACAGCTAGGCAATGCCGACCTCAGCTGCTCAGCCACTGCAGCTGTCAATACCCCAGTCACTATTTGTGGGGGCCATTCAGATGAAACAAAATGTTTTTATTTCATCCTCTTGAGCATTCAGTGAAATGTGCTCACGAGTATGGACGCCTTAACAAGAACAAAGCTAAATAGCAAATTTACACTGCACGAAGCTCTGCATGAAGCACTGAGCACCAACAGCTTAAAATACAATAACAACTTGATTTAGTATCACATGCACAGTTGTGGGCACTGTTTGACAGTGTCAAAGTCACAATGTTAGTTGGTGACAGCTTAATTATAGATGCTTGTCAGCCCACAAAAAGGAGGGGGGGGAGGGCATAATATATTGCATCACGGAGTGACTGAAGTCTGATTTCAACATAACCGAATGCAACAACTGATACCTAGCCAGCAGCACAGCCGTTAACTTGCTAGCTAAACAGTTACCGTTTCGTTTCTGCTGAAAGCATGTAAGCAGCTCAGATGTGTAATGAATAATTACGTCTTAACAAAAAATGATTTTACAAGTTCTGTACCTGCTTAGGAGATTTTTTTTGGCCTTGAGAAACTGCACGGTATCCAGAAAGACCAGAGCAGAAAGGTAGCAGGAGAACCGCTGAGAGCTGCATCCCTTCCTGTTTTCCTCTGCAGTCAGACACGCCTACCACAACTCAAAAACAAATCCTCTGATTGGCCAAGACTACGTACGTCGCCGCGTGCGTAAAATTATTGACGGAGAAGTTATTCAGTCAATCATGAAAGACAGAAGGGGCGTTTTTTTCAAAGTAGCCAATCAAAACTTACGTTCGTGGAGCGTAATTTCATTCACATGGCAAATGTTTTAAAATAACGGTCCCACCCAAAATGAACATAGACCGACGAAGCAGTATTGTTACTGAAAGTAAATGTAATTTACTTTATGTAATTATATTTACAGTCACTGCAATGTATTATATAGCATTTGTATTATTATTGTACATTTAATTACAATAAATATTTTATATTGTGTATACATTTTTTATTTTTTATTTTTTTTTATTTTTTTTTAAACATGATAGAATTCATGATAGAATTTCAAGAAATTATACAGAAAAAATATCTTCTTGTCTTGTTTGGTTAATTTATACCTACGAATATAAAATGTAACTATAAAAAAAAATAAAAAAAATCACATATGCTCTGTTTTCAATACCCTTATCGCAATTTATCATAACAAAAATTAATATCCTGGGACCCAGGCACAGTTTTTGTCCTCTGTAGAGGACATTATTTTTTAGTGAATTTCTCTGAGAGCATACATGCCACATACATGAATGTACAGAGCACATTCAGGGCTTTTTAGAGATATCAAATGTTTGGAGGTTTGATTATAGACACTCCCTCTCCTTGGTCTTTAGATATGACTGATATTGACAGAATGATCAAATGTAGCACTCTTAGGGAAACATGATAATGTTTTGTAATTTTGAAAACACTTCTTCTTTCGTTTGCCCCAACAACACATTAATATGCAAATTAGATGCAATGTATAGGCTATACATTGTATAGAATGGGAATATCAATTTATGGGCATTTTACGCAAATATTGCATAAAGTAAAATAGTATATCAAATCATTCTGTTTATCTTTCATAACATAGTTGAGAATCATCTTTGTACAAAGTTTGGCTAAAATAGCCTGAAACCTAAAAACTGATTGGTGAATGAAAAAAAAAATTAGTTTTTGCCTATACATGCCTTTTCATGTCTATTTATTTTTTGAATAACTTAGTCCTGGCATCATCTACAAAAGACAGAATATAATATGAATAAAATATATGTTTTCAAAAATGTGTTTTTCTCCATTTGTTTCTTATCCTCCAACCAATGTAATGACAAAAAAACTTTTTTTCTGGTTCTCAGGAGGATATGATTTTTTTTCATGTTTTATAATTGAGGTTGCAGTCAACTACTTTGGAAGTAGGTGCATTTAGTTAACCAATCAACATCCGACCCTACACACTCTGTTGGCCATATTAACCTTACAGCCAATAGAAATTTACTTAAATCAGACTGATTTCTAAGAGAGTCATTCACATAATCAAATTAGCAGTTCTGCCCTAAATGCAAATGAGCTGTGCAACAGCAGGCTTCACGGTTTTTTTTTTGGCATAGACGTGCAGTTTAGCGGTTGTGGCAGGGCTCTTTCTGCGGGGAGGGCTGTTGCTGAAGTTTCTGGGTCATGTCGCAGCAGACCGAGACAAGCAACCATGACTTCAACAAATATGTATCAGGGGCTTGATAGTAGTGGCAAACCAAGTTCAAGGTATGGGTTGTGTGCTGATAATTGATTTGGAACAATCTGGTGTTTGTAGTTGGTTTGGTGTTGACACTTGCGTGTGTTTATCTGAATCATCAATCACGTTTCTTTAGGAGAGTGAAATAGGAACTTTAGCATGACTAAGCGCTACATGCTAACTCTATTAGTTCAGCGAAACAGCTTGTATTGCATTTACAATGTGTGCTCAAATTACTGGATATAACTGTATCAATTATGTGCCGTGGAATGTGTGATGGTAAAATATGTTATTACAAACTGTGATGTCAATGTGGTCAATATTATTTGTTCGCCGTTAGCGGCATATGTGCCGAGGCTCAAAGAGAAGGTTTGTGAGCTACATAGACGCATTTTACTTTTAATCAGAAATGTATTTGTAAATTGAAATGATGGCTACCTTAAAAATAAACATGAGTTTATGAATACATATGAATTTATGCACAACGCAGACTTCGAAGTAGGCGCATTTCCTTAAAGTGTTGTTGATCAGAAACGAATTTATGCCGCAGGTTGTACTTTTGTTTATTGTGCAGGGCTTTAACTTTCTTAAAGAAATCCACGAATTATTAAAATTCAGCTTTGGATGTTAGGTACAACTTGGTGGCCCATAAAAGCCTGACCGCCTAAACTTATAACTGCAAGTGCGATGTTTAGCCTCACAGATAGGGTGGCGCTGTAGTTTTAGGTCATTTTATTAATTTTCAGTAATGAGATATAATGTGTAATATTCGTGTGAATTCATGTACATACCTGTATGTTGTCTGTAGGATACTAAGACCTCCAGGTGGAGGGTCAAGCAATCTCTTCGGTGGTTATGAAGAAGACCCTGCTGCCTCCAGACGGCCAAACAAAATGTCCTCTTCTATTTTTGCACCTCCAGAAGAGACCCGGGGGGGTCCCAGACGCTCCAATCCCCCAGGTGAGCTTTCAGCAGACAGTCTTTTCTGTCTGGGGCCTCTTGCACTCTCTGAGTGAAAATCATCACTACACTGTTACTTAGTTTTATGTGTTCAAGACTCTCTCTCTTCCACTATGCAAACAAGGACACTTTGCGTTTGTTATCGTGTCACCAAAAGCAACATCAAAACTCCTACCTCAGTCTAACAAACTAACCAGTAAGTTAACTCCGTGAGATCATACACCGACTGAACTGATGAAATTAGACATCTAGAGAAGGTTAAAGGTCATAGTGATAAAACAGGCCAAGTATTGATCTGAAGTTTAAAGTGCTCTTAAACGTTGTCTAATTTTCTAAGTTCTGGGTTAATAAGTGGTTCTCTTCTGTTTGAATGGTAATAATATTTCATGCTGTTCACATGCTTTGCCCTAAGGGAGCAGGTGCTGAGAATGTCTCTGTTTTTTTTTCTCTTCACTGACATACGTGGTGTTTTATTATTGGCCAGGAAGAAACTGACTGTCACTGTGGTATCATTACTTCGGTTTTAGAAATGACCAAATAGGCCTGCAAAGCAGGGTTATTATCGTTAATTAAAACTAAAACCAAGCTCACTTAAGGACTTGTTTAATAAGCTTTTAAAAGAAAAGGTTTCAGAATTTCTCATGCAAATGTAAAACATCTTGTATCTTAATCTTTACTGATGTAATTTTTTCATTTTGTTTGTTTTTTATTTTATTATATTTATTAAGGATATACCGATACTGGTATCGGTATCGGGTCCGATAATGAGCTCCTGTACTCGTTAAAATGCCCCGATACCAAACGCCGATACCACACAGCATGTGATAAGCGCCATATTCAGACAAAGAAACACCGACAACGGACAGCAGAATGGAGTTAAGGATGTCTACGAAGTATATGTATGCAATGAATATAACGTTAAACATTCAGTATTAATGCCTGTATAGCTGATGTGCGCGAGCTGATTGAAGGTGTCTGAATAAATTTTGGTTTGACTGTATCTATTTGATAAATGAAGTTAACCATCTAACATTATACATGCTCTTTTGGTTTCTGTACCCAATATTTAAAAAATTTACAAATGCAAAAAAAATATTGGTATCGGTACTCGGTATTGGCAAGTACAAAAAATAAAAGTATCTGTATCAAGCGAGTACTGGAAAAAGTGGTATGCATCCCTAATATTTATGTAACTCTTGTATTTTTGTAACTTTTGTTACTACTACTAAAACCATAAAATCTTTACTTAAGTGAAATAAAATAAAATCAGAAAAACTTGATGTACTAAAATAAAACTAAGCTGAAATAAAACTTCACAGACTGACACAAACACACATATAGTGGGTATAGAAAAGAATCACCCCCTTCTTTAAATTAATCCCATTTTGTTGCTTTGCAGCATTAAATGAAGACGAACAAAGTTTTTTTTATCCAGCTGTATTTACTCTATATAGCTGTATTTATATATACAACTTATAACATCCAAGTGAAAGATACAACACCAACATGTCAGAAAAAAATAAATAAAAACTTAATCACAGAGTTGGAAAAAAGCATCACCCCCTTGTCAGTATTTTGTTGAACCACCTTTTCAATTTTAGTCTCATCTGCCTCAGAATCTTCAAGGTGTGTTTCGGCAAAGCTCAGTCTGACTGCATGTGACCTTTCTTGAGGAGGGGCTTTTTTCTTACAATCCTCCCATACAAGCCACATTTGTGATATTGTTGTCACATGCACACAATGACCACTTTTCAGAGTTGCTGTAGGCCTCTTGATAGCCTCTCTCACCAGTTTCCTCCTGGCTCTTTCATCCAGTTTGTAGCGACGTCCTGATCCAGGGAGGCTCTGTGTTGTACCAAATACCTTCCACTTCTTATATAGACTTCACTCAGCTTCTAGGAATTGATAAAGCCTTTGATATTTTTTGTATCCATCTCCTGACTTTTGCCTGTCCACAACTTTATCCCGGAGATCTTTTGACAGTTACTTGCCTCCCATAGCTGATTGTTTGCTTCAGTTGCACTACCAAGGAATGAAATGCTCCAGGAAAGTTCTTTTCATGCTGAGCTGATCAAAATGACCACAGCTGATCACAGTTGAATGTCAAATGGCTTTGTGTGCCATTGAGAATGCGATTAGCTACACCTGATTGAGTTTACAAGTAATTTTTAGGAGGGGGTGATCCTTTTTCCAACTCTGATTCTGTTTTTTTATTTTTTCCTGACATGTTGGTGTTGTCTTTCACTTGGATGTTATAAGTTGCACTGAGTGAAAATAGCTCGATAAAACAAAACGTTTCCGTCTTCATTTCAAAGCAACAAAATGTGATTTATTTTAAAGGGGGTGATTATTTTCTATACCCACTGTATATAAGACATGCACATTAAAATGATTAGAACTTTGATTAATATTAATATACAGTGCTGGAAAAAATTAAAATACCACTGCATAATTATAAGTTTCTCTGGTTTTACTATTTATAGGTATGCGTTTGAGTAAAATTTAACATTTTTGTCTTATTCTATAATCTACTGACAACATTTTCTCCCAAATTCCAAATAAACATGGTCATTTGGTATTTGCAGGAAATGACAAGTGGTCAAAATAACAAAAAAGATGCAGTGTTTTCAGATGTCACATAATGCAAAGAAAACAAGTTCATATTCATTTTTGGTAACAACTTCTAATAACTTTCATGAATAATTTCTTAAACGTATGTGTAAAACATGTTTTGCACCCAAATGTGTTACAATGTGTTATGACTTTTTAGCAAGCATTTAGCTAAACTTACCACTCTTTACACAAACATTGTTACAGCAGCCAAAAGTCCAGTGCCCATAAATAGGGATGCACCGATATGAAAATTTTGGCCGATACCGGTAACTGATCATTCTTTATATATGAAAGCCGATAACCGATATGTTAGCCGAAAAATCTAAATTAAAAATGTTATATAATTTGAGAACCTGATTACCAAAAAAGTCTCACCATTTAAAAGGCATTAAACACTTCAACATAAATCAAGCATAAAGCAGCCTTACAAATAAATAAATAAAATAATGTTTAAATACTGCAAACAAGTCACTGGACAACATTACTTGCGTGTAAAAAAAAAAAATCATGTGCCATGGATAAATTAAACGGAATAACCTCCGCACTGACAATAATGAAATTATTTTAATTAAACCATATTGTTGATGAAAATAATAAGATACAAATAAAAGAGGTGATTATTATTAATAAGATATCAATAATTTTGAAAAAGTATCTTAAATTAATACCACTGTTTCAAATAGCAGCATTGCTGATTGAGCTGCGTGCGCTGTTGCTGAAGAGCTGAATGAACACCGGTAAACTGAAGCGCTTTGTTAGCGGGTTAATTAGGCTGTATGAAAATCCGATCTTTATACAATATAAACATGATATTATAACTTATATATGCACAAAAAGACGCAAATGCACAAGTGATCTTGAACTAAGTTACGCGCTAGTCAGATGTGTAACTCGTGGACACGCTCTTGGCTCTTCCCGTAACAAACGCGCTGAAACACGGCAAATAATTCACAATTTTTTTTTTATTACGGTAAAATTGTCTTTATAATGTTATGTATATGACATTCCCAATTATATTTATTAATGTTGTGCATTGCTGTTCAAGTTGCGTGTGCTGAAGAGCCGAATGAACACCGGTGAACTGAAGTGCTGCCAGCTTATTTAACTCAAGGAAACGCATATGTAAGAAAAATGATGAGGACGATGAAGATCTCTATGAAGATGTTTATTGCAGCATAGCAGTGACAAAGTACATGTAGTACCTTGGGTTCAGCGGAGTCAGAATGAACCACGAACATCCTAAGCTCAAACATTTTATACTCTATTACGTTCATCTTCCCGCTTCATCTTCCCACATGTAAATGAAGTTTTGTCTTAAATGTAAATTGCGGATAACAATGAAAGTGATAG